GCGTCAGAGGTTCTGGACAGGGCCTGCAGCAGCACCATGTGGGCGCTCTCAAACTGCAGCCTGGTCAGCGGGGGCTGGGTAACCCAGGGATGGATTCCTCTGTACGGACCTGCTAAGCAGGGACAGCGCTGGGCCCGGAGACAGGCCAGGGGATGAGGGACTCCTGCACTTCTCCGCTCCTGGACCCCATGCAGCACAAGGAGCAGTGAGAGCAAAGTACCAGGACCCCTGGGTCATCTCCCCAGCTCTGCTCTCCCTCTAGCGGTTCTGTACCTCAGTTTCCCTCCCATAAACGGGGAGAACAACACTGACCCACTTGGAGTGCCCTGAGATTGGGAGGCTGGGCTTGAGGGAGGGGGAATAAACTGAGCACCAACTGCCTGAGCATTCAAGGGAGGTTAGAGCTCCCCGGGGACACAGGACGATTTCTGAGGTGCCCTCTCACCAGTCGGGCTCCCCAGAGGAGCAGGGATCCCAGGGGCACGTGCACTGCCCAGGGCACTCACCGAACAGGAAGCGGAAGATGCCCAGGGAGGCCGGGTCCGTGGGTCTGTTGAGCAGGCAGACGAAGCGGTGCCAGCTGGACACATCAGCCCATTCGAAGCCCAGCAGGCGCTTGGCCCAACTGCTGCTCTGCTGTGTGGGCTCCGGCGCCCCCTGCACCTCCTCACGCCGCCTCCGGCCGGGCAAGGACTCTGACAGCAGGGCAGCTGCAAACCAACAGGGGTGTGTGTGTGGGGGGGACACGACAGGACAGGTCACTTCATTATTCGGGGGGCAGAAGGTTCTTAGCATCCTAGACAGCATGACAGTGAGGGCTCTAGACGCCACAGTCCCCCAACAGCGCCCCTCACTCCCACCCCGGGCCCCCACCCAGCTCTGCGGTGCCCCTCACTCCTGACCCACAGCCCCTGCTAACCCGGCCCTGCGGTGCCCCTCACTGTCTCATAGAACTGAAGGGAACCTTGAAAGGTCATCGAGTCCAGCCCCCTGCCTTCACTAGCAGGACCAAGGACTGATTTTTGCCCCAGATCCCTAAGTGGCCCCTTCAAGGATTGAACTCACAACCCTGGGTTTAGCAGGCCAATGCGCAAACCACTGAGCTATTCCTCCCGACCCGCAGCCCCGTTCCCCAGCCCCAGGCTCCCCCCAGCTCTGCGGTGCCCCTCACTCCCGACCCGCAGCCCCGGGCAGACTGAGAACCAGGCGGGACCCAGCTGCCTGCCCCGGGCCGGGCCGGGCCGGGCCGGGCCCTCTTCACGGGCCGCGGGGCGGGTGTCCCGGGCGGGGGGGGAAGGGGGGCCGCAGCGCCCGGCGGGAACCCAGGAGTCCGGCTGCGAGCCCCGGTACCTGCCGCGCGGCCCCGCTGCGGCTCCATCTCCGCGCGGCTCCCAGCGCCCCGCCCCGGTTGCTAGGAGACGCTCCAGAGCGAGCCCCTTGGCCGCAGACACGTCACCAGCGCGGCGGCCGCAAAGCGGTGGGCGGGGGAGTGTCGCAAGCGCGGGGCGGCCGGCGGCGCTTTCCGGCAGCCCCGAGGGGCCGCTCGGGGGGTCCCCTCCCCACTCCCAGCGCTGAGCCGGGCGGAACCCAGGCGTCCAGGGTCCCCTCCAGCCCCGCCTCCTCCCGCTGCGCGGCCCCTCCCCCCCGCGGGCCCTGTGGACGCCTGGGTTCTCCCGCTTCGAGACAGCCCCGCGCTCGGGGTCCTGGCGCCCCCGGGACCCCCCGGCTCGGTCCCACCCTGAGCTCCGAGTCCGGGGGCTTTAATTGGCCTGGGGCCCGACCGCTCCACGTGGCCTCTGCGCGGCTGGCCGGGCCCTGCTGGCCGCCTGGGCGGGGTGGTGGGTGAACGGCGCTGGAGAGACGGGCAGGCCGAGGCCGGGGCCGGGGCCGCGGGGCTGGAACCGCTTATGCTGCTGCTCCTCGCCGGCAGACTGGGGTCCCTGCCCAGTAACGGCCTTACGCCGGCTTGGGTAACAGGCCGCCCTCTTATCACGAGTAACTCTTGAGATAAGGGGACAGTCGTTAGGAGTGGGGCCCTAATCAGATTGTCCCCCTGCTTCTGTGACAGGCACCAGGCGGAGCTAGTGTGGGGGCTGGGGGAAGACTCCTTGGGGGGCAGGAGTGCTGGGTTCTGTTCCCAGCCCGGGGAGGGGAGTGGGGTCTAGTGGTTAGAGCTGGGGGGGCAGCTCCTGGGTTTTCCCAGCTCTGGGAGTGGGGTTCTGTGCCTGGCTCTGGGAAGGGAGTGTGATCTAGGGCTTAGAGCAGGGGCTTGGGGGCTCAAACCTAATAAAACCCTCCTGGGTTCTGTTCTTGACTCACTGTGTGACTCTGGCCTTTCCCCTCTCAATGCCTCAGTTTCCCCTGCTGTAGAATGGGGTTGATGAGACTGACCCCTCCTCTCGGCGGGGGGCGGGCAGGAGGCCCTTCATATTGATAAATCTCATTGGGATCCTGCAGGAAAGGGCCAGGTACCAGCACTGCTGCTTTGGGTCACCAAACACAGAGTCGTAAACCAACACAGACTTTTAATACTGACAATTACCCAGGGCTGGGAAGCTGTAAACAGAGACTGCTGGGGGTGTGGCCTGCAGGACCACCGACCACACGTCTCCCTCCCACCCAACTGCCTTTCTCATCTGCTGCTGAATCTTCATTTCCATCCTGCCAGCAGGGGCCGACCCGGCCTGGTCTTTGCTTTGCTCCCCAGCCCTGTACAAACCCCAACACCTTTTGCTCCCACTGCAGAGCTCGGCCAGGTGCAGCCTGGCTGGTTCTTCAGGCTCGTCCACTTTGAAGGGAAGAGGCAAATATTTATACGTAGCCCAAAAATGTTACATTCTCTGTGGCTCCGACCTGAGGGGGAGGAGGCAGAAAGGACCAGCTTGGTCGGGGGACGGGGACAGAGAGATCTCCCCAACGTTTCCCACAGCTGCGGCTTTTGCTACAAAACAAAATCCAGCCTCTATCTGTTCTCGGTATGAAGAAAACTTTTCCCTGGTGACCCTGAGGAAAACTGCCTGAGTTTGCAGAGAGCCTGAGCCGATCGCTTGGAGATGAAGGATTTGCCCCGGGGGTAACCAGTGCAACGACACCTACTTGAGTTTGCTGAGGGCCCAAAGCAATAGCAGCGAGCATGCGGGATGAACGCCCCGTTTGTTCCAGTGAGGGCTAGCTCTGGTGTCCACTGCTGTCACTTTAAATGGCAACACTTCACTATTCCAGAGGGGAGAGGAAGGATCAGAGTACAAAGGGCTTGGCGGGGGGGAGGGCGGCATGGCTGGATTAATTTCCCACAAAGCGGGGCTCCGCTTCAGCCATCTGGAAACACTGCACTGAAATAGCCTTTTCCTGGGCTTGCGTCTGTCCCGTTCCCTCCCTCAGTTACGTCAGGCCAGTTTTCATCAGGTTTAAATAAAGTGCTCCGTGTTGGGAGCAGGCAGGGCTAGAGCAGATCAGCCCTAAGCCATCCACTCCCATACCTATCTTCAGCACAAACTGCTTCAGGAGCGCTGGAAAACCCAATTCCCCATGCTGCCCGTAGTTGTTGCATGATACTGTATGGCAGGATAGGGATTCCTGCCTGACCCTTGGGGCCATCAACCCTGGAGTATGAGAGTTGATTACGACTGTAACAGAAAAGAAAGAGGAGATGCCCTGGCTGTGGAGGTGATTGGGGGATGGAGGCTGGAGGTCTCCTTAACCCAGAGAGAGGGCAGCATGGCACCAGAGGCCTTCTTGTGAGAGGGGCTGCATCCCTGTGACCCCTGCTGGCTCTCCTGTTTGCAGGGAGCTGGGGCTATTGGGGTGGGGAGGCTGCAGGGTATGTCGGGATTGCACCCATCAGGCGATGAAGATGCGTGAGCAGGGGCTGAGGTGGTAACGGGAATCCCCATGCTGCACCAGTGCCAGAGGCAGGGTGGGCGACACAGGGCTTGGGGGCTGCTGGGAGACCAGGTTCAGGCAGCCACTAGGCAGTGCAAAACCATCAATCCATGCACCAGCATCCTCCAGAGCCCCACAAGCAGCAGGACCCAGCCCCCCCACTGTTCTCCCCACCGGCAACATCTCCAAACCCAGGGGGGGACAGTAGCTGCTGGGGCCCATCCCCCACCTCAGCTGCTTCCTCTTCAGCCCAGTACCCCCTGAGGGCAGAGTTTAACCTTCTCTCTGTCAAACACAGGGTAGGGGCCTGACACCCCCTGGGGGTGTGTACAAGCAGGAGATGGGCACTTGTGTTAGTGCTGGAGATAGATGGGCTTCTCCCCAGAGTGGGGCAGCAGCCCAGCAGTCCCCACCCACGCACCCAGACCCTGCCAATGTGTCCGGGCCTACAGTCTGCCAGCGAGGCACCACCATTGCTAGCCGAGCAGAGCCTGTCCCACTCAGTGACGGCTGGATCTGGGTCCGCACCAGCTCCACTCAGCAGCCTCAGCTCTGGGGACATCTGCTCCAAGCAGTGCTGGGCTCTGATCAGCTCCATGTGCCAGGGCAGGGCCGTTTCTATCTAGATCCACCTCCGCTAGATGTGCCCTGGCCTGAGCCCTAGGAGCATTTTGTACCAGCTGGTCTTAGCCAGGCTGGGATGGGACACGGAGTGGGCAGAGCTCCCCCCACCCAGGAGAGTCTCCTGTCCCAGCTCTGCTGATCCCCCTCACTCCTGACTCACAGCCCCCTGCTACTCCTGGACCCCCAGCTCTGCCAATGCCCCTCACTCCTGACCCGCCACAGCCCACTGTGGGGGAAGGCCCCAGCCTTAACCCTAAAGCACTAGCCCAGCGCACAGAACCAACCTGCTGGGATCGGGGCTGCCCCGGGGGGCTGGATCTCCTGAACAGGTCTGTGAATGACCTGGGGGGGGGGGGGACCTGGGGGGGCTGGGACACGGGGGGCAGGCAAAGCTTGGAGCCCATCACTGGGGGCCCAATGTCTGGGTTCTGTGCCGGGGCAGAGGGACCCGAACCCCCTGGGTCCCCCCGCCTGGGGGAGCCGGGCCCGGCCCGTGTCTCTTTAAAGGCAGCGGCAGGAGGCAGGCCCGCCCCTCGCACCTGGGGACCGGCCGGGCCGGGCTGGGCTGCAGGAAGCAGGAAGTTTGGGCTGAAACTTCGCGCACCAGGAAGTGTCCGGAGAGGCGAGAGCGGAGCCCCCTGGAGCATGGTGAGTGCCCGGGATTGGGGACGCGGGCGGGGGGCATTACTGCCCCCCCCCCTTTACACGGGTCTCCGGTGCCCGGAGGGGATCCGGAGTGACTCCGCGCGGGGAGGGGCCCGGGACCGGCTTAGGAGCTGGCTGTACTGCGGCTGCCGGGGGGGGAGCGGACTGGAAACAGCTGCTGGGGGCGGGGGGATCCCGCCTGGCTAACAACCCCCCCGCCTCTTCTCCGCTGCGGGTGTGGGGGTGTTAAGTGACTTGCCTGAGTTTAACCCCCCCACACACACACACTCCTCTCCAGTGCTGGGGAGAGAACCCAGGAGTCCTGGCTCCCAGCTGGGCCATACACCCACTGTGGTGTAGCTGAGCGTGGCCCATCCTGTCTGGTGGCTGCTGGGGGGAGGGGGGCACAGGACAGGATCCGGGTGACAGAGGGAGGAAGCGGGGCCTGAGAACTGCGCGCTCGGCGCTGCAGGCTGCTCCCTGGGCTGTCTCCATGGTGACGGCCAGGCAGTGCCTGGGTAAGCAGAGGCTGGGTGCAGGTAGCGATTGCTGTGGGGCGGGAGCTGGCTGCAGCCAGCGTGGGGAGGGGAAGGGGCAGCTGGGATCTTTTCCAGGAAGGGAATGGGGTGGGGGTCTGCAGCGTCTCAAAGGGAGCGCAGGAGCAAGGTCATTCCTGAGCCCAGAGAGATACCCCCCACCTCCAAAGTAACAGGCTCCTGGCTGTGTCCCGTGCCCAGTGCCAAGGCCCCTCATGGATCCACAGGCTCTGAGCTGCATGGCCCCCCCTCTTTTCTCCCCCCCCCCCCCCGGGCGCGGGGGCTCCTTTTCCCCCCCCCCCCCCCCCCCCCGGATCCCTGCAGAGCTGCCTAGAAAGAGGAAGTGGGTGGCCTAACGGTTCCTGCGCCCTTGGGGGACTGCAGTGCCCAAGCCCTGTTCTGCAGCCGGAGCCGGGCACAGGTGGGAGACAGGCCCCTGGAACTGCAGAGCTGTTTTGGGGCCAGGGTGGGATGTGGGGGAGAGGGGATGGCTCAGTGGGCGTTTGGGGGCAGCGTTGGCGGGTGGAGTGGATGGAGGCCATAGCGTCCTTTACAGCTGGGCTGGGTCTAAAAGGGGCCACAGACCCTGGGGGCTCCTGGCCTGAGCTGCCTGCTGTGTGGGGCTTTCGGGGGCTGGGAAGATGCAGGGGACTGGGGGTTGGGGGGTCTTTAGGGGGTGGTTGCCAAAGGACTGGTGCCGCTGAGGCCCCCCTAGCCGTGATCCCCCACTGAGGGGGACAGAGGCTCTAAGCCATGGTCTGTCCATCTGAGCTGTCTGTGAGCAGCTGCAAAGCAAATGGGCAGAAGGCAAAAGATTAATGTCCCCATCCCCCCAGCCCAGGCTCGCTGGCACGTCCAGCTCCCTGCATCTGGGGTCACTAATTCACCTGAGTCAGGAGAGAAGGGCTTAATTCCTGGCCCCGGTGCTGGCTGAGCAGGACTCCCCAGTCCAGAGCCCCGGGGGGGGGGGGAGCTGCCTGGGATCTGAAGGGTTAAGGGAAGGAGCTCTGGTGCCCCAGATGTTGCCAAGGTGCCCTGGCAGTGAGGGGTGCGGTAGGGATTTGGGGAGGTTTCCCTTAAAGGGACCACGCAGTGGGAATGGAGGGGTGCTCTGGGCCCTCTGCTGTCTGCTTCCTGCTGGGGGCCTGGGGTTCCACCTCCCCAGGGGTGGGGTGGGGGTCTCTGCACCCCCCGTTAGATCCATGTTGGCCACCTCTGGACCTGTCCTGGGTTAAAAACGGGGTCAGATTTGGGGGATCGGCATGGTGGGGGCTAAATGCAGAAGGTGCTGGGGGGTTGAGGGGGGGCCTGGGTGAGCTGCTATGAATGGCCGGAAAGGGGAGGTGGCAGTCGTGCTGCCTGCCAGGGCCAGTCTAAAGGGGAGTCTCTCGGCGGGCTGCTGGACTCAGACAGACCCTGGGGCTCCCATGGGGCTCCCTCCGGCCCGCGCTGGGCAGCGCTACCCTGGGCTGGCTCTGATCCCTGGTGCCTGACGTACTTTGGGCGCTGGCCCAGGGCAGCGTTTCTGAGATTCCGGCCTGGGACCCGCCCAGCCCGACATGCCTGGGTCTGACCAGCCCAGCCGCTTGGACCAGGCTCAGCAGGAGGGGGAGGAGACGAGGGGGTGGCTCTGACCCTGCTCCCCCCCCCCCGGGGGTCTCACAGGCTCAGGGGGTGCTTCCATCCTGGGGCTGTCCCAGGTCCCTGGGTGGGCTGAGTTTGCGGGGTCTCTTCTCCGCAGGAGGCAAGGACCAAGCAGAGCTTTGGAGACAGCCCCCCTCTCCACCCCTGCAGAGGGCTCTGCCCTGGGCCCCCCTGGGCTGGCGGTGTCACACCTGCTGCCCCATGCCCCCTGCAGGCAGAGGGCAGAACTGCAGGAGGGGAGATTGCTGGGACCGACCCGACCGGCTGGGCGAGTCCGGCTGGCGGTGGAGACGTGAGGCGGGTGCTGGAAGTTCCCTGTTGACATTCTGCAGTGATAAGTTTTGGGGGGAGGAGGGGAAGGGCAATCACCCTGGGGGAGCTCTGCCCCATTGCCCAGAGAGCTCCCCCCAGCCCAGTCCTGCCCCATGGGACCTCCCTCAGCCTCTGTGCCCACAGCTCTGCCTCGGTGTTCTGGACCCCCCTGGCCTTGGGCCGGGCACCCTCCTTCCCCAGCTGTCTCCTCTCCCTTCCTTATGCTGGCTGAGGTGCTGCGGTCCAGTGGTTAGAGCAGGGGGCTGGGAGCCAGGACACCTGCTTCTATTCCTGGTGCTGCGTGGGGATGCTGGGAGACAGGACTCCTGGGTTCTATTCCTGGTTCTGCCCCTGCCTTTGGGTTTGCTATGTCAACTGCCTCAGTTTCCCCACAAGATTGTTCTCCTGTGGTAAGCTGTGGGCTCGAACAGAGTCTGTGAAGCATTCTGAGCTCCTCAGAGGGACAGGGCTGCAGCTGGGCCCCTTCTCGAGGGCCCCTCCCCCTTTCGCCTTTGGACCTCCGTTCTCTGTGCCCCCGGAGGCTTTGCCTGGGCCGTGTGTGCTGCTCCCGCAGCCGCTCTCCTGTTGACCCCTGGCGGGCGCTCTCCCTACAGGAGGGCACTGCTGGCAGCGGGATGGCGACCGACCGGGTGAAGAACCTGCAGAGCGAGGTGGAGGGGGTGAAAAACATCATGTCGCAGAACGTGGAGCGGATCCTGGCGCGGGGCGAGAACCTGGACCACCTGCGGAACAAGACCGAGGACCTGGAGGCGACGGTGAGCCCTGGTGGGGTTGGGGACCGGGGAGCAGCAGGCTGGGGGAGACCCCGACCCTGTGCTCGTGAGGTTCCTGGTGAGGTCATGGGGACCCCAAGTCTGGAGTTGATTTGCAGGGGGTGGGGGCTGGAGCCTGATAGGGGGTTTGGGGCAAAGGCCTGGCACTGGGTGCCCCTGGTTCTGGTGCCACCCAAGCTAAAACAGGCCTGGGCACTGCCATGACCCCTAACCTCGCTCTGGGGGCTCCACTGCTGCCCCAACAGGCTCAGCTGGGCGTGCTGCTGCCATGGAGACGGTGCCAAGCAGGCACAGGGCTGCTCGGCGGGGGTGGGTGGGTGACGCCTCACTCTAGTTCGGATCCTGCCAGTCCTCTGGTCCCTGCCCACGTGCATTGCATGACGCCCGCTCCCCGCGGGGCGGGACTGTTTGCTCAGCCGCTGATAAACCCTGGCAGCCAGCGAGACACTGTCCCTGCGCTGCCCTTTGTCCCGCGCTGGCGCTGCTTATCTGAGGCTCTCAGCACTCAGCCCGGGCCCGTGCCAGCAGCTGCCAATCGAAACACAAGCACCCTCTGGTGGTCAGCTCTGGAATAACGTGCCTATAGCTTCCCGGCGCCGGTTTGGCTTGGAGGAGCGGAGCTGGGGCAGCGCCCACGTGTGGACCCGCCTGCTGGCATTGCTTGTGCCCACAGATCTGCCCACGTGAGCTAAAGTGGTGGAAGCTGGATTTCTACCCGCCACGCTGGAGAGCCCAGGCCCACCGCTGCCCCGGTGTAGTTGCGGCGGGAGGAAATGCCCTGGTGAACCCCCCGGTGCTGGCTCTGACGCAGCGAGCGCAGTCCGGTGGGTGCGTCTGGTAACCCAGCACCGAACTGGGGTGGCCTGTGTAGATATGGATGAAGGTCAGTGCTGGCCCGATCTGCCAGCCCAGTGAGTCTGTGTCCAGGTGCGGCCTCGCCCTGAGGGGGTGTGGCTGTCCCCCCCAATCCCTCTGGTTAGAGCTGCCCCCGGCAGGTGGGGGGCTGTCCAGCTGCGTAGGGCCAAGCCAGGCAGGGGCTGGAGGCTCTGGGTCAGCACGGTGCTAACTCCCCCACGTCTCCCACCAGTCTGAGCACTTCAAGACGACCTCGCAGAAGGTGGCCCGCAAGTACTGGTGGAAGAACGTCAAGATGATCGCCATCATCTGCGTCATTGTGGCCATCATCGTCATCCTCATCATACTCTTCGCCACCAACGTCATCCCCACATAGGCCACGCCCCGCAGCCTCTTCCTCTTCCCCCACTCCACAGCTTCCCTGCCCCCACTGCCTGAGGATCGCTGGGCTGGGGGGGGCAACGCCTCCTGTCAGCCCCCTGAGGCTGCCCCTCCCTATGCCAGGAGGGGGAGGGCACTCGTACCCTGACCCCCATTGCCCCCGTGAAAGCTCCTTGGGGACTGTAGCCCCCTGAGGGGAACTCCCCTGCTCCCTCTGGCTCTGCCCAGCTCCCTTCCCCCAAATCCTCTGTCACCCCCATCGGTGTTCCCAGGCTGGCAGAGCCAAGCCACGGGGGAGCAGCTCCCAGCCCCTCTCCATGTGGCTGACGGAGCTAGATCTGCCACCCATGGCCGCAGCCCCCCAGCTCGGCTCCAGGGGGCGGGGTTGTGCCCTCTGCCCAGTGTGGCTGGCTCTTGTCCAGCTGAGGGAGGAGGCGCTCCTGGGGCTGGGGTGATGGGCTTGGATCTGGGGAATGCTTCCCCCCCCCGCACGTGCCCTCTCTGGGGCAGAGCTGGGCATGGGCAAGGGCTGCTCTGTCCTGAGCCAGACGCAGCCCCGCAAGGAGCAATCTACCTTTTGCCTTAATAAATAACGAGAGAAGGAGAGATCCCTGCAGGAGGGGGCGGGGGATTTGTCAGCAACCTCTGTCTGTCCAGGCCGGGGGCTCATGGGCTTCACATCCTAGGTTCTCATAGCTATCCCCACCCCATGGCACCCCATAGTCTGCACCCCCTGTCCTGCCTGGAGGGGCAGGTGCTCTTGGGGGTGCAGTAACCCCCTCTTGCCTGCAGGGGGAGACTCTGCCAAAGGGAGCACCTGGGAGCTGGCGGATGCCCTGTCGACTGGGGGGGCAGGGAGGGGTGAGCAGGGCTTGTTGCAGCCTCAATCCCCCCCGCCCCCTCCCCACATGCCCTGAGTTTGGCTGTGTATGTGGATCTTAGGTTCTTATGACCAGGCTCCCCCATCAGACCTGGGGGGGTACCTGAGCCGAGCAGTAGAAATAGTTAGAGTCCCCCTCCCCCCCCGACCCTGGAGTGGGAGGCCAAGTCTTCCTGATACCCCACCCTCCCCACCCTCGCCCCCCAGAGACACAGGCTGCGCTCCCTGTAATAAATGTATTTATACCTCACTGGAGAATAGAGATTTATTGGAAGGAACCAGCCTCCGTCTCTGCTCTGTTCTGTCTGCTGAGTCCCGGTGGAATCTCTCCCCACAGTGCCCCCTGCTGGGAGAGGCTGGGACTGCACAGGCTGGCAGTGTGCTGGAGCGGGAGGTGGGAGGGGTGTTTGTGGTGGTCCTTTGTTCCAGGCTGTGACCAACTTGTAACCCTCAGCCCCTCACCCTCTGGGGCTGAGAGTGCAGGATTCGCCCGGCAGCCAGCCCTGCCCCCAGCTCTTTCCAGGGCCCCTCCCAGGTGAGGATCTGCCATGCTGCATCCCCTGAAACTGGGGCATGGAAGTGACTTGCTACGGCCGTGCCAGAGCCAGGAAGAGAACCCAGGAGTCCTGCCCATGTCTCCTGGCACAAACGTGGCAGCAGCTTGGTTGTGAGAGCTGGGGGAGGGCTAGTGGCTGGGGGTAGCATGTGGGGCAGGGCGCAGCGTTCCCTGCTGGGACTGCTTCACCCAAGGCAGAATCTCAATGGTGACAGTGCAGGCGGAGAGCTTGAGAGAGACCCCCAGTGTTTGTCTGTGCCTTGTTGAGGAGCCCCCTTAGTGTTCACCACAGCCCCGCCGTGTGGTATATGACACCTGTATGAAGCGAGGGCCCGGCCCCGCCCCACCCCAACCCCTTGCATGGGCTGAGGCCCCTCCCACAGCCAGCGGGTTATTGCTCTTTGGTGTCCCTGATTCCCGCCGCCGGAGAGACGTAAAGCATCTGCTTGGGCACAGGCCAGGCTGGGAGGGGGCCATGGTGACCAGCACCAGCGAGTGTCCCCTTCCTCCAGCCGGTTTGTGGTGAAGATGGGGCCGGAGGTTGGAGGAGGCAGATTTCGGAGCCATCCCTGCCCATGCTGCGACCTCAGCCCTATGCTTCACGGGCTTCTCCCCACCTTAGCATTTCCTATACAGAAAGCATGGCCGATGCTATTCCCTCCCCTCTGAATGGGCTGATCCCTTGGGGGGGTGCTGCGGGACACATGACTCATGGCACTGGGTCCCCCCAGCCCTGTGGGGCTGCAGCCAGTGCTCGAGGCTGTCACCAGTGCCCATACTGGTGAAGTTGGCAAGGGCAGCTGGCGAAGGCTGATGTTGCCCTGGCTGCCCAGGGGCCACATGCTGTAGCCAATGGAGGGGAGATTACTGGGTGACCTTCCCCCACCCCCCCCACACACACAGGGAGAGGGGATCCCTTGGCCCAAAGCCCAGGCCCCTAGCACTTGAGCTTCAGGAGCCTTGCCCTTTGCTGGCCCTTGTCCACTCTGGGCTCAGCCACTAGAAGGTACCATCACCAATTCCCCATGCAGCACCCTCCCAGGAGTCATTCCCGGACAATCCCCTGGCCACGGGTAACCAGATTCTGCTGAGCAGAGAGATGTGGCTGCCTCTCTGCCTCAGTTGGGGCTTTGGGGCTATGACACACAGGAGAGCAGACCTGATTCCACCCAGCAGAGGGCAGTAACAGCTATTGGTTTTAATGTTTGATCAAGGGCTCAAATCCAATGAGGGATACTTAAAACAACCCAACAAATGCAAAAAATTAAACAAGCTCCTCCTAGAGGTAGCAACCCGTTCAGCTAATGAGACACCAGCTAGAAGCAATTCCATCACTGGCACAAACTTCCATTGGCTGGTCAGAGATCTTGAGGACCGGGCGCGTCTGTGAGCAGATGGACCCTTTTGTGGCTGGGCCATGCCCTCTGCTCCCCCGCCATGGCTCTGTTCTGTTTCACACCAGCATGTGTTAACGTGTGGAACTCCTGCCACAGGGTGTCCCTGAGGCCAGAAGCTCAGCAGCGTTCGAGGGCAGGCTGAGACATTGAGCTGGTGATGAGAGCTGCCAGGGGGACCTCAGAGACTTCTAGCCTGTTACGCTGAGTCCTGCCTCAGGATATGAGCTAGCCCCCAGCTGGTGGGATGTGGTGAAACCCCCTCCGTAGGCAGGTGACACCACAATGGCCCTAGGCCATGGGCTTCCTGCCCATTCCTCAGCAGCAGCTGGAACTGGCTGCTGTGGGAGCCAGGATACCAGGCAGGATCTGCTAGTGGGGCAGCTGGCTCAGAGGCTGGGCTTCCGCTCCTGGATGGGGCTGTGGGAGCTCTGTGTTCCCCTATGCAGCTGCCCAAGGCACTGAGATGCTGGCTTCTGTGCCAGAGCCGGCCTGGGCAGCCAGGGTGGGTGGCACAGACAATGTGCAGTGTGTGGGGAACAGCTCGCGTTCCCTGCTTGGGCCTCAGCTCTGGGCGGGTGCCACGGAGGCTGGGCTGAGGCTTTGTCCGATGGCTCAGGGAGGCAGGGGGTAAAGGGGGGTTGGCAGCTCCTGGCCACTGGGAGGATGGTGGGAGCATCTGCAGCCGTGTGGGCACTGCCAGGTGGCTCCCAGCCTCAGGCACTGGCTGCAGCTCCTCAGGGCTTGGGAGGCCGGTGCCACTTGGTCCCTGCCAGGGCAGAGATGCGATGAGCCAAAGGGACTGGCGCCAGCACTATTCAGCTGGGTTTACTCTGCTGCAGCCCAGCTCTGCCACCCCATCCCCGCTGGGTCTACCCCCTTCAGTGCCAGCACGATTCCCACCCCCACCCCCCGATCTATCCCCTCTGCAGCCCCAGCACTGGCCCTGGCCTCTCTCACTCGATCCACCCCCGGATCTACCTGCCCCCATGCAGTTACACCCTGAAATGGGCAAAGTCCTGGGCACTTTGTTCAGTGCCCCTCCCCCCGCATCCCAGTTACCTCAGCTACAACCCTGCCCTCCTCCTCCCAACTCTTCCCTGGGCCCAGGAGAAGGGAGCAGCTAACAACAGACTCCAATACCTCCAAGTCCCCCCCCGACCCAGCAGGCTCCCCACCACAGCCCGTCTGCCCTGCACACCCCCGTCTCATGCTGTGAGCCATCGGGTGGGACTGGCACATTCTGGGCCTGGGCCAGCACCTGACCATTCCTTGTCACTCAGCCAGCGCTGCCTCCTGTGGAAATCTGCTGCCTGGAGCCCTGGGGAATGGGACGGGGTGTGTGTGCATGCTCGTCAGCGCCACCCATAGACCAGGTCTCATCACTGATCAGGTGCCACACACCCGAGCTGCCAGCCTGAGCTGCCACTGGCCTAGTCTGTGCCCAGCTCTTGCTGCTATCATCAGCCCCTCCCGTGTCATGGAATTCGATCTACAGTGAACTAGTGAACAGCTCCAATTACACAGAGAACATTAGGTTTCAGAGTTAACACGGGGGAGGGGAATGGGGCCTGCACAGTAGCTGCCTGCAGACTCAGGGACCCATGGCTGCATCAGTTCTGCTCAAGTCACCTTCTGCCGGCTCTTTACAGCACCACGGGTAGAGCTTTAATTACTGTGTAATGAAAGCTGAAGCCTTGGCCCCAGCTCCATGAGCCTGAAAGCCGGCCCAGGCTGACTGAGACCAGCTCTAGACAATCCGGGCACCGGTTCCCACCCCACCCACCTTCCCAGCGCGGAGCCCTGTGCCAGCCCCCACAGGAGCCAGGGCCGGCTTTAGGAAGTGCGGGGCCCAATTCGAACAGTTTCGACGGGGCCCCAGCAGGGATGACTAAAAAAAACACGTAAAAAACACGTGGGGCTTGTACTCACCAGGCGGCGCTCCTAGTCTTCGGCGGTGGGTCCTTCACTCGCTCCGGGTCTTTGGCGGCACTGAAGGACCTGCTGCCGAAGTGCTGCCGAAGACCCGGAGTGAGTGAAGGACCCGCCGCCGAAGTGCCGCCGAAGACCCAGAGCGCCGCCGGGTGAGTAAAAATTAAAAAGGAGCCTCTAGCCAGGGAAGGGATTCTCAGCCACTTGCCCCCACCCCGGCAGCCCTGCCACTGGGCGCGGGGCCCTCTTAGGCATGGGGCCTGATTTGGGAGAATTGGTGGAATTGGCCTAAAGCCGGCCCTGGCAGGAGCTGTGCAGCAGCTGCGCCGTCACGGCGTAAGAAGGGAAGTGTGCAACTCCCCAGCCACCTCCCCGGCCCCCAGGAGCTGAGAGGCCTCGTTAGAGCCCACTTCCCATTAGGTAATTAAACGGTAAACAACCGTCACGCTGGGGCAGGGCGATCCCAAGTGCAACAGCCCTGGGGCTCAGTGGGTTTGGCACCAGTGACGGATTTGCCCCATCTCAGGTGTAACTGTGCCAAAGCCACAGGGCTGACACCAACGTTCCTGCCATTGGCCCAGTGGGTTATGGGTGTTTGAACCCCCTGCTCCCACCATCCCCTGTGCCACCAGTGGGAACCCCACACCACAGAGCTGGGATCCTGCAATACATGGCAGCGGAAATGAGCAATGCACCCCGCTCTCATTGACCCCGTGGGCTGGTGTGGGGATGCAATGCACTTCCCTGGTGTGAATGCCCAAATGCCACTTCTGTGTGTTGGCAAGGCCTCAGTGCGCCCCCTGCAGCATGACCTGAGACATGGCCAGTGCTTCAGGCATAGCTCACCGCACTGGGCGATTCTGGGAGAGATCCACCCATCTTCTCCTCCTGGTTTCTGGCAGTCAGAGGTTTAGGTCGCCCTGAGCATGGGGTTGTGGCTCTGATCATCCTGGCCATCCTGGCTAATAGCCATTGAGGGACCTAGCCTCTATGAACTTATCTCATTCTTTTTTGAACCCAGTTATACTTTTGGCCTTCACAACATCCCCTGGCAAGGAGTTCCACAGATTAATTGTGCATTGTGTGAGGAAGTACTTCCTCTTGTTTGTATTAATCTGCAGCTTCTTAATTTCATCGGGTGGCCCCTGGTTTTTGTATTGTGGGAAAGGGTAAATAACACGTCTCCAGTCACTTGTCCCACACGCTTTGTGGACGTATGTGTCTCTAGCCCATCCCCCGTATTTGTCTCTTTTCTAAGCTGAACAGCTCTGAATTTTGCACTCTCTCCACATAGGGAAGCTGTTCCACACCCTTGACCATCTTTGTTCCCTGACTCTTTGCCAGCTCCACTCTCTCCTTTTGCAGCTGGGGCGACCAGCACTGGGCACAGGATTCCAGGGGTGGGCGCACCAGGGATTGATGCGGGGAGGGGGGGGGTGGTGATAACTTCTGTCTTATTTTCTATCCCTGTGCTAGTAGTTCCTAGTTGTCTTTCTCATCACTGCTGGGAACTGAGCTGGAGTTTTAGCCCCATGACTCCAGTCTCCTTCTTGAGCTAGAACCCATCTCTGTGGAGTTGGGCTTGTTTCCCCCAAGGTGCATTACTTTGCACCTCGACATGTTGAATTTCAGTCCCCCGGCCAGGGAGATCCCCCGGAACTCAGCTGTCTTGAACAATATTAGTTCATAGGCAAATGTTGCCCCTTCACTGATCACGCCCTTTTCCAGATCATTAATGAATTTGTTGAACAGCCCAGTCTGGGGGGACCCCGCCATTCACCTCCTGCCCTTTGTTTCCCGTCTAACAGCTACTGATCCAGGGCCTTCCCTCTTTCCCTGACTGCTTTGTGTCCTCCAGAGCCTTTGGCGAGGCACTTGGACTGGAAGAGTGAAAGGGGGAGCTTTTCGTGCCGTGAGACACCAGAAATTGACACCCCCCCACACCATGCAACCTGCCCCCCGGGAAGCCAGGTGGGGCAGCAGTGGCCTGTAGTAACTGACGCGCAGTGTTTTCTGTGCGCTGCTCCCTCTGCCACATGCCGCGGAGAAGGCCACACACCCTGCCCTCACCTTCCTGCTTCTCCGGCGCTGGCCTGGGAGTCCAGCGTTCACCTGGGCACATGGAAAGAAACTAACGAGCCAGTTGGAAACTGTGAGCAATTCCCAGGAGTGGCAATTAAATACAAAGCAGCATTTGCCACCTGCTCCTCCCCAGAGCCAGGGTCAGGCTCTCTCCTCCCAGATCCCTGCCCATCTCTCTACCCCGCCCCCAAATGTCCCTCGCAGCCTCCCCTTCCGAGCTCCCTTCCAGCCTGCAGCCAGCGGGCCCCTGCTGCGCACAGCTTACACCGGCAGTGCCCCAGGCTCAGGGAAGAATCCCTCTGGGGTTCATGACAGCTGAGCCCTGCATTCACACCCAAAGGTGCTGCAGGAGCAAATCAGGGCTGGGGGCTAAACGTCCTCTCCCCGAATTAGGCCTGTCTTGAGCTCCCATCCACAGATCTCCGAGCAGTTCACTAAAGGAGGGGTCATTATCCCCATATTGCAGAAAGGGAAACTGAGGCACAGTGAGGGGCGGGGACTTGGCCAAGATCACCCAGCAGGGCAGCGGCAGAGCCAGATGTGGAACCCAGCCCATGCACTGCCCTGCCCATCGCCCAGAGACGTCCACCTCTGCCGCTGCTGATCCGGCCCCTTCCTGCCCTGCCAGATTCACTCCAGAATAGATTTAGGACAGGAATGAAAGTGAAAAGACTAGAAGGAAAGAGAGAGAGGCTGAGAGCCCAGCGCCCAACACTGCCCCCTGGTGTGACTCCGGAGTGACCCAGTGTGGGACCTTGGTGTGACTCCGGAGTGACGCCGCCAGGACGGCAGGGAGAAGTGCGCTACGGACTGGGCTGAGCCGGCTCCAGGGCGCTCCTTGCCTTTCTGGGCAGGCGCTTCTCGTGGCCCTGCCCCTCTCGGCCCCTCGCCCGCCCCGCCCCGCTGCGCTCCCCTCTCCAGTGGCCGCTGGGGGGCAGGTTGGGAGGCAGCCGCCCGGGGCCCCGCGTCCACAGCTGTGAAAGCCCCGACTGCCCGGCAGCGCCCAGGGCCCCGGAGCAATTGGTGGGAGTCGGACCCCCCGGTGCAGCAGGACCTCGGCCCGGGCAGAGCGGATCGGGGCTTCCCGAGAGCCGGCGTCATGGTGAGGGGCGGAGGGCGCGGGCGGCCGCGGGCAGCAGTTTCGGTGTCTATACTCGGGGACTCCGGCACCCTGCCCAGGGCCCTGCGGGGTCACGGGGCCCCGGTCTGACCCCCGGGCGCTGCGGGGCCGGTGTGCCGCTGGCCGGGGGGGGGGGCACATGGTGCTGTTCAGTGCCTGACACCCCCCCACCCGAGTTCGGTGCCGCCCCCCATAACTGAGCTTTGTGCCCTCCTCTATCTCCCCCTGTTTTCCTCCCTGCTTGTGGCAACCCCCGCAGCTCTCCGGTCGCCTGCCCCGCCACAGGCGCTTTCCTGCCCAGCCCCTCCCGGACGCCGGACCGGGTGAACCAGAAGCCAAAGACCACATCCTGATCCCAGCTCCAGGCAACCCTTTGTCCCCACCGAGTCAATCGTTTACCGGTTAATCGGAGTTAGCAGAGGCTTTGTGTACACACAGCCACCCCGGGACAACCTGTGCTGAGATCTTAAACCAGTTCAGGCCTGGGCCACACCAGGCAGTTTTGCTGGGCTATCCGCCAAGCGCTACACCAGTTCTTTTGCTGTCTCCGCTAGGAGGGCTTAGATACAACCTCCTGGGCTTTCCATCAGTAGATCTCACAGCACTTTACTAAGCAGGTTGGTGTCCTTACCCCATTTTACCATTGTGGAAAACTGAGGCACACAGCAGGGAAGAGACATGCCCAAAGTCACTCAGAACTTCAGTGGCAGAGCTGGGACTAGACCTCAGGTCTCCCACATGCCAGTCCTGTGCTCTGCCTCATGGGTTATACACCCTATGTGGACCCGCGGATTTTGGTGTAAAGGGGCTTGCTCTGGTTTAGTTTATGTCTCTTCAGTGCTAAGCCAAGAAAAGACCCTTGCACTGAAGTGGGGAATTAGCCCAGTGTCACTATAGTGCTGTAATTAGGCTGGTAAATTTCTTTGTGTGGCCAAGCCCTCGGCCTTGTGTCTCAACCTTCCCAGGTGGCCTGGCCCCTGATACCTGAGCTCAGTGCTTCTCCTTCCCAGGCCCCCCCAGACCTTATTCAATGTACAAATAGATATAAATAAATATCTCCGCAGCCCCCTCCCATGAGTAAAAAGTGTCGGTGGGGCCACTGCTGAGCCGATCGACCTGCTGTGTGTGTGGAGGGGCTGGCAGAGATTCCTTGCCCTGGCAGGCTCAGGGTTTGTGGAGCAAGATTTTCTTTGCTTGAGGTCGTTTCCAGAGGAAAGTGGCTGTGTCCCTGCAGGGAGCTCGCCGGGGGAAAGCAGCTGATCCACGCTAGCTGTGCTGGTCGGTTTCCCTGGGGAGACAGCCCTCGGCTGTACCGGTGTAAGGCTCCCATCGCTCCTGCGCTGTGGGGTCGTGCTGCTCTGAGGGCACCACCCCAGCTGACGCCTCAAGGCCTTGCCCTAAGCTAAGAGTCTGCCCAGCTGTCGGCCCCCGTTTATCTCTGTGCGAAAGCCCCAGCTCCTGTGTCAGGCTCGCCAGTGTCACGGCACCACGACGTGTCTCGGGAGGGCTTTCACTTCGCCCTGCTTCCCAAGAGCTGTGCTGCCTGCAGGCCCACTGAGGCTGCCAGGCCGCCCCTCCCTTCGCAGGGTCCCCCCGGGACGAGCACACCCACAGCACGCCTGGGCTGCTGGGGCCCTGACGTGGTTGCAACTGTAGTGTGGACAAGCCCAGAGATTTCCCCCTTGTGGTTCTGTAGCATCTCTGGGCCCGACAGATCGGGGAGTTTGCCCAGCAGCTGCTCACAGGTACGGGGAGGGATTGCTGGTGCAGGGACCCGTGGGTGGCAGCTTGCCTGTGCCTTAGCTCCCCTTGCAAACCCCTTCCCCAGGGGTCAGGGAGCCTGAGTGCGCCCCAGATCTAGGGGTCAGGCCCCCTGGATCTCTCGTAGTGACCCCCAGCTGTTGGGGCAGATCCTGCGGAGGCCTGTGGTTCTGACTCACCCACTCTGATGCACGGAAGAAGGGCCTTCAAAGGCCATGCTGGTGCATGTGACAGTCCCTACAGGGTTAATCTGCTTTGGCAGGCAGCTGGTCCTGGCCCCAGCCCCTCCTGGGGGAGATGAGGAAGGACCTGTGGAGTGGGGGGTCTGCGGGGAGCGGGGTCTGGCAGCTCTCCTCTGAGGAAGGGCTGGGCTATTGCTCCGTACCCGCCTTGGTGTTCCAGATGTGGCATCGTGCAGCCAACCTGGGCGAGCCAGCTGTGTGATGTGCACCAGCCAGGGGTCTGGCCCATGGACTCCAGCCGCCGTGCGCTGGGCTGTAAATACTGCGCCCGGATCTCTCAGAGGCACCCGCCCCCCTCCCTCGCAGGGAGTTGGGTGTTTGTCTGCGGGCTGCAGGGCCCGATCCTGGGAACCAGCAGGGCAGCTCCACCAAACAGCCCAGGCTCAGCCCCCTCCTCCTCCCTCCCCCTCTCTGCAAAAGGCAACAGGAAACCTCGGTGCAGAGAGGCCCGTGTCTTGGTTTCAACTCCGGGGCTCAGCCCCTCCTCCCCCCCCCCACTGCAAAAGGCTCAGCTTTAGCCCACGGCTGGCTGGGCGATGGCAGATGGGACCCCAGGAGCCTGGCCCTGGGGATGTGGGTAGATCGCGTGCTCCTGTGGCTAAGGAGCTTCGCTTCCTTTAGCACTGCAGAGAGGAACTGGGGCTGTGGGAACTGTCCTGTCCCGTCCCCCCCGCCCCTCAGTTGCTTCCACTTTTAAAGGCTTGTTCCACCCCAAGTGGCAGCCATGCGCTGGCAGGGAGGGCCGGCCTCATCTAGGCAGGGGCATTTGCCATCTGCTGTGCCCACCAGCGCTGTTAATCCCCCGGTGCCCAGGAGCCCAGACTGAGACTGGGGCCTCCGTGGGGCTGGGCGTTGCACGGCCCTCAGCCAAAGAACGGGGAGGGACAGGAGCAAGCAGGCTGGCCCTGGCTGCCTCCTGGGGGGCTCAGCCTAGCCCAGGGCTGCTGGACATCCAGCTGGGGGGGAGGGAGGGGGCTGGTGTGTGGAATTTAAATTATTCAAGGCTCCCTGGGGTCGTGCTGCTCTGAGCAGCCATCACAGGACTTGGCGCTTTCCCACCCGACTGTGCTGGCAGGCAGGACTCCTGGGTTCTATTCTCGGCTCTGCCTCTCTGGGTGACTTCAGGCAAGTCCCTCCCCCGCTCTGGGCCTCGGTTTCCCCATGTGTGATGCGGGATCAGGATCCCGAGCCACTGGGGTGAGCCCTGTTAGATCGGGGGGGCTGGTGTCAGTGCCAAGAGCTCTGAGCTTCACAAAGAGATTCACACGGTGGCCTGGCAGATCAGGGGCTGGACTGGGCTTCAGGAGAGCCAGGTGAATTCCTGGCTCTGCACAGAAGCTGGTTCAGTCACTGAATTGCTCTGGGCCTCAGTTTCCCCATTTGTGAAAGAGGGATAACGGCCCTTTGTCTCTATTCTCTGATGAGGCTGTCGGCTCTTGGGGGCAGGGGGTGTCTCTGGCTGTGTCTGGGCAGCACCTGTATGGTGGGCTGCCCATCTCAGCTGGGGCCTCTACCTGCTACCGTAATACCCCTAATAAAGCAACATCCCCAGTGCCCGCCCGAGATCGGTGGGTTGGGGTTTGCTGCCAGCCTGGGGGTCTGTTTCACCTGGTTGTGAGCCAAGCAGGGACGATGGGACTGACCGAGAGCAGGGTGGAGAAAGACCCTGCCTGACAAGGGGGGTTCTGCCCACTGGCTGCACCCACTCCCTGGGGAGCATAGCCCCCCGCACATGGGGGTTTATCTGTTGTTCTGCCCCACTGCAGGGAGTGGGGAAAGGCAGCTTGTTCTGCCCCTTCCCTGGGTCCCCCATCCTCAGGCTGCCGGGGGCCCTGCTGCTCAGGGCAGGTTGTGCCCCTTCCCGTCCCCTGGGCTGTGAGGGGCTGGTGCTGCTCCGCTGGGAGGACACCCCAGGGTGGGGGCTGCAGGGCAGAGAGTCTCCAAGGAGCCAAACACCTGCAGTAGCCTGGAAAGTCACACCCCAGGCTCCCCAAGAAATCCCGCCCCCCCCCCCCAAACTGATTCCCTCATTGGTATGTGGGCCTCTGAACCCACCTGCGTGCGTCAGCACGGGCTCAGCACATGCCACTAGCCCCGCATTTCCTCTGCTCCGAGACCCCCTTCGATCCTCCTGTCTCAGCCCCCGCTGCGATCCACCCCAGATCTGCCCAGCCGCCTAACGGGCTATTGCCACTGCATGGGGAGGGGTGTTTATTCCAGTCACACCTAGAAACCCTGCCCGAGATCAGGGCCCCGTCATGCCGGGCGCTGCCCAGATCCCAACCGAAATCAGGGCCCCGTCGGGCTGGACGCTGCCCAGACCCTGCCCGAGATCAGGGCCCCCTTGTACCGGGCGCTGCCCAGACCCCGCCCGAGATCAGGGCCCCGTCGTGCCGGGCGCTGCCCAGATCCCCAGAGACTCTCCTTGCCCCAGAGAGCTTGGTCTGACTGGATGGAAGGAGGAAGGATCCCATTGCAGGTTGGGTGCTGAGGCCAAGCCAGATGCAGTGACTGGTCTGTGGTCACGTGGGGAGTCCACGGCAGAGCCAGGAACTGAACCCATCTTGTAGGGCCCCCGGTCCAGCCCACGCTGGCAGCGCTGGGAATTCCCTACCCTGGTGACTTGTTTTTCCAGCTCTCGCTGCCTCCAGGCATCAATCAAAGGAGCCCGGAACAAACAATAGTGACATGGCCGATTCCCGTAAACCCCCCCCACCCCCCGGCCCAGAGACTGGGACGCGCTCCAGCAGCCGGATGTCCTGACACCTCGGTCCCCCACAGGAAATGCCCCCTGGCCCAGTGCTGGCTCCAGGCCATGGCCTATGAGAGAGGCTGGGACCAAATTAGTGTGGGGTGTCTCGGCGCCCCAGACTCGTGGGGGTGACCCTGGGGCAGGGGTGGGCAGGAGGAACCCTGAGCATTGTCCTCAGCTGAGCAGAGCGGGCAGGGAGAGAGAGAGGCTCGGGGGGGAAAATGAGGGCTGGGTTGGGGTCAGCCATGGCTGGGGCGAAGGGAGGGGGGCACTGTCCCTGAGCTAATCCCACAGCATGGGCGAATGCAACCCCAATTCCAGCCCCCACACCCCAACCCCCGCACGCCCAGTTCCTGCCCTCCGCACCCCAACCCCCGCACACAGTACCCCAACCCCCGCACGCCCAGTCCCTGCCCTCCGCACCCCAACCCCTGCACACAGTACCCCAACCCCAGCATGCCCAGTCCCTGCCCTCCACAC